TTTTTAGCCTCCAACTCCATTTTTTTGTTTCTTGCCCTCTTTTATTATTTATTCTTCTTCCAATACTTCATATCTTCAATAAATTGATCTTTAACTCTTTCACACATTCGTTTATTCTTTCAAGTCATCTTTCGACTATTTAAACTTTGATTTTCTTCCATTTTGGTCATTTTACGCTTGTTTCTCCTAAATTTCATCATATTCATCAATATTGTCCTGCAAAACATAATTTATAAAGAATTATGCCATATTTTAACATATTTGTCAACAATTATCCGTATTTTGTAGCATAAATAAGTCTGTAAAATGAACTTATCAAACCCATCAAACCCCCAAGTTGTCAAATTTATTTTTCACTGGAACTGTAAATTAGAGATATAGCTTACTGTTCGCTAGGTATACTTATTGTTGACCTCGCAAATTGGACCCTCCACATGGCCAACCGATAACTACTCCACATATTCCTCCCCTACGCTCAATGCACGATCAGATGTACACGGTCGGGACCAGCGGGGGTGGCGGCGACCACATACACTCCGATGGTCAAGTTAGCCCCAAGTGATCGGAACAGTACCAAGATTGTGCAAAAGGGTAGGGAGGAGAATATATATTTACTTGTTATGGAGAGCTAAGTTGTAAGAGTTTCATTACCTTTGCCTCTTGTCAAACCTCGGGTATTTATAGTTGAGGAGAACCGTTAGATGTGGGACACGTGTATCATCTGACGGTGTGAGACGTCTGCTCATAGGCGCCAATTAGCCGCGTCTATAGAGTGGGCGAGTAATTACTTCTCCCGAGTTGAGTTGACATAAAGTTGATACGTCATATCAACTAGGCTCATGGAGACATCAAATCAATTAAACCTTGAGGGCAGAAAGGATCTTGACACAGATCTCTTTTTGAAATTGACAATGGATCCTTAGACAAAGAAAATCAGAATATACTGCGCCTCGGCTTCAAGGGTGAGGACACTTCAGTCGGTTCAGTAGATTGTTCGTGTCTCGCAATGCATTAGCATATCGACAACATTGGTGGTGGCATCACTTCGGAACCACTTCGGATGGGTGTTGAACACCTCGGATAACGCGGTGGTAGACTTTCTAAAGTAGTTCAGATAGGGGCGTAACAGTGTTCCCCCCAAGTTTAGGCATGAATATTTATATCATGGTTAGACTTGTTTTCCCTATCGGGTATGTCTGCCTTGGGATAGGGACCGTGATTTGTGAGAACTTGTGGGTCGATTTTCTGTGTTCATCAAAGAGTTGACCTTAGGCAGACGAGCTAAAGCTTCATTACTGTGTAAGGAAAGAACTTATCCGAGATCGATGTGCTGCCAACTGGACAATGCGTTGGAAGACGGTCGAAGTTTTGTAAAGTTTAGGAGGAAATGCAGCTATCGAGGCGATGACCCATAGGGGACTCCACGTCAGGTGTGTCTAAGTTTTGTAAAGCTGAGTGAGGAGCTCATCTATAACAGGTGCGCTGACACATAGGGGACGACGCGTTAGGAGATGGCTAAAATTTTGTAATGCTTAGGAGGGAACACAGCTACCGAGATGATGACCCACAAGGGACTCCGCGTCAGGTGCGTCTAAGCGTTGTAAAGCTGAGTGAGGAGCTCATTTGCCACCAATGCACTGACCCACAAGGGACGACGCGTTGGGAGATGGCTAAAGCTTTATAAAACTTAGGAGGAAATGCAGTTACCGAGGCGATGACCCATAGGGAACTCCACGTCAGGTGCGTCTAAGCTTTGTAAAGCTGAGTGAAGAGCTCGATCTGAGGCATCTCTGACGTTAAATAATTTGACAGCTGTCGCGTATTGTCAAGGCGACAGTTGAGTATGATGCCCATTCCCCTAAAAGGATGCTGTGGCTACTTATTGTAGACGGCTGGTGGTGATTGTGACGACGCATTTTATGCAAGCGTGAGGGGCACAGCAAGATCTCAAGCGTAGATCAAATCTGGTGTTTCATTTTAACGGCCTAGATTGATGATGCGACGGACAGCCTGGATTGATTGCATTTGAATTGAACGGTAGAGATTAGCTGGGGCGCTCTATAAAAGGCGGACTTGAGCGTTTGGTAGTTTTTCACTTTTGCGAAATCAGAAACTCCCTTTGCTCTCAAAAATCTTGCACTTTCCGACATTCCTCAAGCATTTTCTGACAAGAAATTCCAGTTTTCGACGGCTCTACAGTCACTGCTGATCATTTCTGGCCGTGGAACTCCAAATTTCGTGAGTTTTAGGAAGTGTTTGAAACCTTTTCATTTCTGAAGAATGGCTTCTGAGGATGGTGGCAGCTCAGGGAGGGGGTTGGAACTAGTGCTGATGGAGGAGCCCATTCTGGTAACCTCCTCCGAAATAGCTGAAGCGATAATGGGGGGAGAACATATGGAAGAGGCCAGATAGCCCCGTAGACACATTTGTGCATTGGCGAGCATCGGATTACCCCTCTAAGCTAAAAGGTGCCGACCTGAAAAAACTTAGGGCTGAATATAGGATCCTTGATAGCTTAGATCTGATCCTGCCCGAACCTGATAAGCGGGCCTGCTACCCTAGGCCAGGGTGCGTAGCAATTAGTGAGGCGATTCTTAGGGCTGGCCTTAGGCTTCCGATCCACCCATTCTTCTGTATGGTACTTAGGTCATATGGCTTTGTTCCTACCCAATTGAACTCGAACTCCTGGAGCCAAATGATGGGCTCCTAGATATTGTGGAAGGAGGCATCGCTTGGGGTAGAGATGCCCTTCTCTGTTTTTTAGACCCCTCCATTCGTGCTTGATTTGCCGAGCTCCATTAAGGAATGGAAGAGCTCGTAGTGCTGGGCTGTCGGGAGATGGGACACGATGGAGGGGGACCCCATGGCGCCTTTTAGGGTTCCCACGAAGTATTCAATACTTAGTGAGTACTGTTGTTTTGCGTTTTCCTTTGTTCGTCTTCGGTTCGGATCATAACTAATATTTGTGTTCTTTTGAAGGCACTATTTCTCGGTGTGAGCTTTCCACCGACGACTTTGATATCATCTGCATTATCTATCAGCTGCCTCCAAAGAAGAAGTCATACCACCAGTTGATCAGGAAAAACATCCACTTTGATCAGGAAAAACATCCACTTCGTGACGCACGACTTGATGGCCTCTCAAGGTAAATGTCCCGAAGCGAATGCCTTTCAGTACTTTCCAAACTCTTTACACTTGTACTAATTTGCTTGTTTCCTTGCAGATAATTTTAACAAGAAGCTACCTCTGAGACCAAACTTCAAAACCATCTCGAAGATGATGGCAGAGGCAAGAGCTCTGACGATCTCCTCCCCGACGTACAAGAAGCAGATGGAGAATCTGGTGGATGCCAGCAAAATGTTACAGCCTCTGACCAAGGAGGAGGTGGCAGAGGACCCAGACGCAAACCTGCTGCGGAAGGAGAAGAAGCCTGCTACCCCATCGAAGCGCCCAACTGTGGCGAAGCCGCCTCCGGTTCTGAGGCAGACTACCATTCTTATCGGGGTAGCCATCTCGGAGAGGACGTCTACACCATCAGAGACTTTTCCTGTCCCAGCCACATCGCCAGTAGCTGCTGTGCCAATTGCCCAAGTGTCGGGGCAGCCAAAGAGGAAAAGAGCTCGTCCCTCGAAGGAGGTGGACTTTTTGGGCACCAATTCGGAAGAGTCAGTGAAAGAAATATTGGAGGCACTTCTTCCGGAGACAGCTGAAGTGGCAGTGATCCACAATAAATATTGGACCGAAGAGTGGAGAGACCACACCACCTCATGCACCGCTGAAGACTTGGTTACGACGAACAGTGCCTGCATGGCCCGGGCTCTCAACATGAGCATCTAACTTGAAGGCTTGGTAAAAGACCTCACCAAGCACCTCCAGGAGGCGATGCAGTATGAAGACGCAGTGAGAGAGGCCCGGGCAAGGCCTTGGAAGAGGAGAAGGCGAGGAAGGAAGCCGAGGCCCAGCTGGCCACCGCCAAGGGAGAAATAGAGCGGTCGAAGAAGGAGCTCTATGAAGTGGAGTGTTAGGTGGCTGCTATCACCAGAAGAGTGGATCATGCAAACGAGTATCACCAGCTCACCACGGAGGCTCTGGAGGCCTCAAATAAAGAAAAGGCGAAGCTGAGGTAGATGGTAGATGCCCAAGCTGAGGAGATCACCTCCCTGAGGGAGGAGCTTAAGTTGGCAGGGGAGGTGGTTGTGCAGAACTTGATCAATCACTTTGAAGAGCATCCCTTGTACGACGATTTTGCAAACTTTTGGGCCTCTTGGAGTGCCCAAGGACTATTGGGTTGGCTGAAAGAGGTTCACCCACTCTGGACATATCTTCATTAGAGGCAGAGTTCGGTGGGCCCACTGGAGGTCGACCTGATAGGTTGGCAGCGGATGCTAATAAAGCCCCTGAGGTAGGCGAGACGGAGGTCAGGGTGGAAGATGCCCCAATAGAATAGAGTTAATCAATCTTTGTAATGGCTTCGGCCTCTTTTGTAATCCAATTACAAATGAATGAAATGAAAATTTTTTGTCAAGTATTGTTGCTTCTACTGTGTTGAGCTGTTTACACTTAAGTATATGAATGACAACCACTTAAGTAAACATTAGGCACCTCTTACCAATAACCATTTAATAACAAAAGATCAGATCAATTAACATATTGAAAAATCGAAGTAACAATTTACTAACCGATGTGACAAACAACTGAAGTATCATTACTTAGAGGAGTTACATCACTCTTCACTAAGGCATTTTTAGCACTTAGTAAGATAGGTAAGTTACAAATGAGATCAGATCATGACACACATTTACTAGACAACATTGAGATCGGATCGAAACACAAGCACATCATTGATAGTACTTTCTCAAATGTTTGATGTTCCATTGATGAGGCAGTGCTTTCCCTATCATGTCTTCAATTTCAAAAGTGCCAGGTCAGGATTCCCTGCGGATGTGGTAAGGACCCTCCCAATTCAGTCACAACACTCCGGACCCAGTTGGCTTTGATGATTAGAAGACCCTTCTAAGAACGAGGTCCCCCAGACGAAGAGTCCGATTTCTGACCTTGGAGTTATAATAGCGGGTCATCTTTCTATGATACTTTTCCAAGTTCACCTGGGAGGTATCGCTCATTTCTTCAAGGAGATGGAGTTTGCTCATTTGAGCCTCATCGTTACTGATCTCATTGAAGTGTATTCGACGGTGCGATGGGACTCCTACCTTAACCGGGCTCATGTTCTCGGCTCTGTAGGTCATTGAGAAGGGTGTCTCTCCTGTTGCAGTTCGGCTAGTTGTTCTGATGGCCCAGAGGATGTGGGGAAACTCATCGTCCCAAACCCCCTTCGAGGTGTTAAGCTTCCTTTTCAAGGTATGCTTGATAGTCTTGTTTACTGCCTCAACTTGCCTGTTTGCTTGTGGGTGATGAGGCGTTGAAAAATCTTTTTTTATGCCCAGTTCGTCGCATAAGTCTCGCATTTTCTTGTTGTCGAATTGTTTCCCATTGTCGGACACTAAGGAGTGGAGAATGCCAAACCTGCAAATGATGTTCTTCCAGACAAATGTTTCAGTATTCGCCTCGATGATCTTAGCAAGAGGTTCAGTTTCGACCTACTTGGTAAAGTAGTCAATGTTGACAATGGCGAAAGTCGCGCTTCCTCTTCCTTTTAGGAGTGGACCAATGAAATCGATGCCCCATTTGGCGAACGGCCAAGGGCTGGTTACTACGGAGAGGCTCTGAGAAGGCTGCCTTTGAATATTTGAGAAGCGCTGGCACTTGTCACATTTTTGGACAAACTGGCAAGCATCCCTTTTCAGGGTCGCCCAGAAGTAGCATTGTCGGAGTACTTTGTGTGCCAGAGCTGTTCCTCCGGAGTGATTCCCACAGATTTTCTCATGGATTTCCCTGAGTATATACATGGTCTCTTCGCCTCCTACACATTGGAGAAGTGGCGAGGCGAAGCCTCTTTTGTAGAGAACATCTTCTTGTAGGACGAAGTGTGCAGCCCTTCTTCTTAACTTCCTTGCCTCGCTTCTAGAAGCTGGTAGTGAATGATCCTTTAGATAGGTGATGATGGGTTGCATTCATAATGGGGTGCCTTCTATCCATAGCACCTCGTCGCCTCCGGATAAGGAGGGCTTCGACAAGTGTTCAATGGGGACAACCTTTAGTAGCTCTGAATCCTTACTGCTGGCCAGTTTTGATAGCGCATCTGCATGAGTATTCTCTAGGCGGGGGACTTGAATCAGCTCGAACCTTTCAGAATGAGAAACTAGGTTCAGAACCAATTTTAAGTATGCAACCATGGTACTGTCCTTGGCCACGAAGTTTCCATTGACCTGACTCACTGCAAGCTGAGAATCATTGCTTGCCTAGAGCCATTTGGCCTGCATTTTCTTTGCAAGTCTAAGGCTTGCTAGAAGGACATCATATTCAGGAGCGTTGTTTGAGGTTTTGAAGCCGAACCTTACTCGCAATTTAGCTTGTGGCCTTCGGGGCTTTCCAAGACGATCTTTGACCCGGAGCCAGCCTCTCCTAAGGATCCATCTACGAACAGTTTCCACGTTGGGGGCTCGGCTGTTTCTATTGTAGCCTCCATTTCTGGGGCTTTGGCAAACTCAGCCACAAAATCTACAAGGGCCTGGCCCTTGATGGCATGTCGAGATCTGAATAGTAGGTCGAACTCACTGAGCTCGATCGCCCATTTTAGCAGACGTCCTGATGCGTCTGTTGCAGTACTTGCTTCAATGGGAAGTTGGTGAGAACTTCAATTGAGTGGGCCTGGAAGTATGGCCTCAGTTTCCTTGAGGCTATGATGAGGGTAAGTGCCAGTTCTCCATGTCTGGGTAGCGTGTTTCAGCTGGGAGGAGTGCTTTACTGACATAGTATACTGGCAACTGGTGCTCATTCTCTTCTCTGACTGGGATTGTATTGACCGCCTCGTCTGAGACCGCTAAGTACAGGAGTAGCAATTCTTCTGGTTGAGGTTTGGACAACAGGGACGCCTCTCCTAAGTGCTTCTTCAGCGCTTGGAAGGCTTCTTCGCACTCAGAAGTCCATTGGAACTTCTTTCCTTGCTTCAACACATTGAAGAAGGGTAAGCTCTTATCTGTAGCCCTGGAGATGAAGCGATTGAGTGCGGCTATCCGACCATTGAGGCTTTGGACCTCCTTTAGTTTCTGGGGTGACTTCATTTCAAGCAAGTCCATTATCTTCACTGGTTCGCTTCGATTCCTCTTTGGTTTACAATATATCCCAAAAACTGACTCGAAGCCACTCCAAAGGTGCACTTGAGGAGATTCAACTTCATTTTATATTTTCTAAGTATCTGAAAGGTTTGGTCGAGGCGACTTACATGTTCGTTTGCCTGGAGGCTTTTTACTAGCATGTCGTCCACGTAGACCTCTATGGTTTTGCTAATGAGTTCGGCAAATATCATGTTGACCAGCCTCTGATATGTAGCTCCGACATTTTTCAATCCAAAGGGCATGACTTTGTAGTAGTACAGTCCTCTGTCTGTGATGAATGATGTAGCCTCCTCATCAGGTTGGAACATGGGTATCTGGTTGTACCCTGACTATGTATCCATGAAGCTCAAGAGTTCATGTCTAGCGGTGGAATTCACAAGTTGGTCTATCCTTGGAAGTGGGAAGTTGTCTTTAGGGTATGCCTTATTCAAGTTTGTGAAGTCTACGTACACCCTCCACTTTTCGCTTGGCTTCTTCATCAGGACCGGGTTGGATATCCACTTCGAATAGATGACTTCTCTAATGAAGCCGCTACGGCTAAGCTTGTCTACTTCGTCTTTGAGTGCCTCGTACCACTTCGCGTTGAGGGCACGTCTTTTCTGCCGATGTGGGGTACAGGAGGAGTTGATGTTAAGATGATGGCAACTGATCTTTGGATCTATTCCCACTATGTCTTCATGCTTCCAAGCGAAGAAATCCAAGTTCCTTTTCAGGAAGCTCACCATTTTTTCTTTTGCTTTGGGGGATAGTGCCTTCCCTATTCGCAAGACCTGGCTAGGGTTCTCTGAGTTGGCAGAGAAAGTTTCAAGTTCTTCCATTGGGGTTGTATTTGGCTCAGAGTCAATTATCCGAGGATCTAACTCATCAAGAAGGTGCCCTTCTTCAGGGGCCTCTTTCATGTCGACGTCTTCCTTCTATTCGGAGGTATGCCCTTGTTCAGAGGCGTCGAGCATTTTCACATCCAAATTGGCCTCACTGGCAACTTCAGTTATGATCACGTTAATAGTCGGGGCTCCGATTTTCGCAGAGAGTTTAAGTAACATGCCCTGGAGCCCATCTGGTCACCTCGGACCGTAGCAATCCCATATTCAGCTGGAAATTTCATACACAAGTAGTGGATGAATGTGACAGCCCAAAGATCTTTTAAGGCGGGCCTGCCCAATACTCCTTGGTAGGCCGATCTGTGGTCTACCACCAAGAATTCTATGAAGTATTGGGCCACTAGGAGAACCGAACCCATCTCGACAGGCAAAGTGATCCGCCCCTCGTGGGAATCGTCTGTCTCCAGTAAATTCGAATAGTGGGTCGATCATGAGGACCAGCCCATGTTCAATTTGCATTTTGTCGAAGGTGGAGCCGAACAGTATATTCACCGAACTGCCATTGTCGACGAGCATGCTTTTGAATCCGTTTCTTGCCACTACAGCTCTCACAACCAATGCGTCACAATGGGGGTAGTGAAATCCTTGTGCATCTTCCTGGGAGAAGGCCATCCTGTTGGCCTCTTGGGACTCATTGACAATGTAAGTGGGCATTGGCGGGTCCTTTGCTTCCCTTGTGTAATTCCTTTGGGCGTTTCTAGTGTTGCCACCAATGTGAGGTCCCCCAATGATCATGTCGATCTCCCTGATGATTCGGTCTCCAAAAAATGGGGCCTGATCTCTTTGTCTGGACACTCATCGGTCCCTTGATTTTTTTCTCCGGGGTGACTGCTCTCTATGCCTTCTCTCTCCCCTGTTCGAAAAGAAGGATCTGCGAGGATATTCGTTTCTCCTAGGGGGATGTGGGTCGCTCCGATCTGGGCGTCGAGGAGCATCTCTGCACTCGTTGGTGTCATGCCCATAGAGTTGGTGGAAAGTGCAAAATCTTGCCCCTTCTAAGGGCCTGTTTGACCGCTTCTTCTTCTTTTTATTACTACTCCTCCAGATGGCCCTGCTTCGCCAGGGATATTCTCATACGCCAACACCGGCATTGCATTTAGCGTGGCAGAAGTCAGTGCCTGTCCGGAGGTGGGAGCTATTGTATAACCTGCTTGAGTCCATTGTTGAGTGACAAGGTACGCTGTGGGTCCTCGACCTACCTGCCTTTGAGGCGGAAGGAGTCTCTGCGAGGCACGATTTCGGTGATCAATCATCTCTTCACTGACGATCTCAACTCTCATCATTTCTATCGGCTCGTCATAAGTGGAGGGATTTTTGCTGCACACATCCCTCCAGAACAAAGTGTTCATGTTAAAGCGGCCTTTCAGAGCTGAAAGGGCTTTTCTGTTAGTGACTTGCTCGCAGTACGTGATTTCTTCTGTAAACCTGGTGAGATAGCTTTTCAGCGTCTCTCCAGGGGCCTATCTCATATCTTGTAGGCGTTGCACTGAGGCCTCTTTTTCTCTGTGTGAGAGGTACTGATTCAAGAATGCCTTCTTCAAATCTAGCCAACTCCTAATGCTCAGGGGAGGAAGTCTGTTGTACCACACTTCAGCAGCTCCGCCCAGGATTAGGTGGAAGGCTCTACATTTCAAAGCAGGGGGGCTCCCCTGGGACTAATCTGTGTCATATACTTGGTGAGGTACTTCTCCGGGTTCCCCTTTCCTTCATACTTGGGGATTTTAGGGGGCATGAAATTCGCAGACATTGGGAAGCTTCGAATTTTCCTTGAGAAAGGGAGGTTATCATCATAGTCATCAATTTCATAGGATCGACAAGGCCCATCTGACCCTTCATCATCTTGAATGTTCTGGGGAGGTGGAGGTGCTTTTCCTCGACTGCCCCAATCAACTAAGTCCATTCTCTCCTTCCTATTTCTAGGAGGAGGAGGTGCTTGTTCTTGCTCTTATTCTTGCCAAACTGATCTTCGCACTGAGCGGACCCTATTACTAGGGTCCTACCATATTCGGTCGAAGACGCTGACTGACATTTGTGCTTCATATTCTTGAGGGAAATTGTTCCCCAATCGTGGTTCTACTGGTTGGCTCCCTTGCACATAGGATGTGGCTTCCGCACCCTCTTCTCTTTCAATGGGACGTTCTCTGTGCTGGCTCACATGGCCTCGGGAACGAGATACAGGGCTTCCTGAACTGGGTAAGACCCTTGGGGCATTTGAGAGCACTGGTGACCTCGGGCTTGCATGAGAAGTTCATGAATCGCCATATTCTGGGCTGCGGTGTCTCTCATGCCCGTAGCTATTTGAGTCATTCCTTCAGTGAGCATGGCTGTTCTTTCACCTCGACGACGCCGGTGATAGGGTCTCTGGTGAGTGATACTGTTACGAAACACCTCTTTTTCAGAGGCCTCTCTCATAGGGTTCTCGTTTTCATGGCTGAAACTCATCTTATCTCATTTTTCAAGGGTGATAAGAACTTGGATTATAACTCGACTTTGCTCTTTTTCAAGAACGTGCCTTTTTCAGGGTAGGTCACTAGTTTTCCGGTGGTTTCTCCGATGGAGAATGCAGAACTTTGGAAGGGAAGTTTCCTACAGACGGCGCCAATCTATTGATCTCGTAAATTGGACCCTCCACGTGGCCAACCGATAGCTACTCCACGTATTCTTCTCTGCGCACAATCAATGCACGGTCAAATGCACACGGTCAGGACAAGCGGGGACGACGGCAGCCGCATACACTCCGACGGTCAAGTTAGCCCCAGGTGATCAGAACAATACCAAGGTTGTGCAAAAGGGTGGGGAGGAAAATATATATTTACTTGTTATGGAGAGCTAAGTTGTAAGAGTTTCATTACCTTTGTCTCTTGTCAAGCCTTGGCTATTTATAGTTGAGGAGAACCGTTAGATGTGGGACACATGTATGCATCTGACGGTGTGAAGCGTTTGCTCATAGGTGTCAATCAGCCGCGTCTATAGAGTGGGCGGGTAATTACTTTTCCCTAGTTGAGTTGACATAAAGTTGATATGTCACATCAACTAGGCTCATGGAGACGTCAAATCAATTAAACCTTGGGGGCAGAAAGGATCTTGATACAGATCTCTTTCTGAAATTGGCGGCGGATCCTCTGACAGAAAACCTCAGAATGTACTGCGCCTCGGCTTCAGGGGCCAGGACGCTTCGATCGGTTCAGAAGTTTGTCTGTGCCTCGTAGTGCGTTAGCAGATCGACAACATTGGTGGTGGCGTCACTTCGGAACCACTTCTGATGGGTGTTGAACACCTCGGATAACGCGGTGATAGACTTTTCAAAGTGGTTCAGATAGGCGTGTAACACTTATCATTTCTTTGGATTTTAGGGATTTGCTCCTATTGCTTGATCGTTAATCATTACGCAATCGTTCCTAACATACATTGCCAGAACCCGAACATCATTGTCTCATGTCAGAAAGTTGCTCCCACACCCCATTTTGGAGTGTTCTTGACCGTTGATTTGTCATTGTGTGCTGGAACTTGCTCATGTGTACGCGAGTGGATAAGACATCTATTGTCCGCGTGACCCTAATTGAAAACAAAGTCAACAAGGTCCTTTGCTTTTGTAGATTTTTTGATGAAAAATATTATTTCTGCATTAAAACTAAGGAGTGTTAATTTTAATTCATTAAGATAATATGTATACCAACAAAATGTTTAATCTTTTTGAAAAGGAGCTAACAGGATGTGTTGTTGAAGATGAAGTGTGTAGAGATTGAAAAAGGTCGACAAAGAATATACAAACTCCGATATAATTCTCATACATTTGATGTTTCTTTTATACAAGGTATAATGGTTTGGAAGACTTCTCATTCTTTGTTGACAAATTACTTCTGTCATTAGTTGTCACAATCCATTTTCTTGCTTTCTTAGTCATCCTCTTCAATATGAATCATGTTGGTATGCTAGTGATATTATTCAAATCAAACACCTTTAAAGCAATGCCAATGTAAAATTTCCCAATGAGTAAAATAACTTGCATGAACAAGAAACATCAAATGTAAGAGGAATATATTGGAATTTGTATATACTTTGTTGACATTCATCAATTGCTTCACAAGTATAAAATTTATAATCTCTACACACTTCTTCCATCTTTACTTTAATACGGTGGTTAACTCTTTTCCAAAAAGATTAAACCTTTTGGTGGTGTACATATTAATTGCATGAATTAAAACACCTCTTTACTTTAGTGCACAAATAATATTTTCATCAAAGGTTCTACAAAAACAATGGACCTCATTAGATTTGTACACCATGACAAGAAAACTGATAAAATGCACTCTGCCGAATTGCATTATATTTTAATATAATTAAGGTGTCGGTAAAATGAACAATATGGAAGAAAAAAGAAAAAGAAAAGAAAAGTAATTATAACGTCTAAAGTAACAGGAAATCTGAAAGAGAAGAATAAAAGCACTAGATAAAAGTTTATAAAAATAAATAAATCAATAAAAGAAAATTTAGGATTAGGCTAAAAACTCGATTTTTTCTCAATTTCATTTTTGTCTGAACATTTCATCAATCTCAAACTTTTCAACTACAACTTCATCAACTTTTTTCCGCACAATGAACCCACATACGTCCCTGCGCACTATTAAGAGACTTCTTGTTAGAAGTTACGGCAAGCTCTCAAGAATACAAGCACTCAAACCCAAAAAATATTTACAAAAACAAAAATTTATTCTATCATCCAAACTTGGTTTGCTTACTTTTCTCATGCCATCTCCTTCATATAGTCATATTCGGTTCAATATCGCCAAGTAATTTCAGTGTACAATAATTCTAGTGTAAAGCAATTGTTGGAAAAATGAGTAAATGGCTCACTTTTGGCAAAATTTTCGGTGGGATCCGTTATTCCAATTTGGAAGATTAAAGTTGATCCGTGTTCTCCTCCGTGAAAGCATCAAAACTATATATTTACTTGCTAAAATTGATGAATGAATGAATAAGAAATTGAAACTCAAAGTTGATCATTGGAAGATGGTTTAAATGAGAAAAAATTGAGTTTGTCCCACATAAGAAAAATATGAAAGCGAGAACCACTTTAAATATGGTTGCACATTGGAATTATGTAATCATATGTAGCATAGAGGCTCTCTCCACGTGCATGCGCAGGGGGTTTAAATCACATATTGAAATTGCTTTCGGACCTTGAAATTGTATGCGGGCGCGACCTGCGTACACAAATGCCGAACTGAATGAAGCAAAAAATTGGCCTGTTTGGAGTGTCTATATTTTGTAATTTTTTGCTTTCTCCAACTGACCTTCAAGTTTTCGAAAACTGCCAAAATTCCCAGAAATTGAATCAATTCCAATGTTTATTGCTATGAGGTTAATAGGCAAATTTAATCTTATATTAAGTCTCATTTCCAGCAATTCTAACCACAAGAATAGTCACCAGGAAATTATTGTCAGCATACACATGAAAATATTTTGCAAATTAGTGTTGTCTGTATACATAATCTATTGCATTTCCAACATTGTCTTGTTGGTGATATTGTTCGAATACAAACTCAGTTCCCCCAAGTAGTATCTGTAGTGCTCAAATTCTAAGGGTTTTACCGTTGTATTCTAGTAAACGGACACTCGAATTAGACCTCAAGCACTTACGGTGAGATGACGAATATGTTTTAAGGAAACTGTATTCGCACAGGCCTCGGGTTGAAAATTTATCTGCTATTTATTTATTTTGCGATTAAACTTTGCAATTTATTCTTGTAGATTTATTTATTTAGCCTTTATTCGTGTGATTCATATAATTTGCAATTTTATTATGTTATCATTCTATTTATGTTTATTAAAATTAATCTGCGTTAATTTCTGTTTATGTTAAAAATAAAAAAAATCTTAAAAAAATTATTGTAATTTCAGTATGTATAAGTGCAAAATTGGTATGTGAAAATACGGTATATATGAAATGGGTAAAATAATATGTGCAAATACAGTTAAATGCATATATGGTAGGCAACAAATACGGTAAACTGCTTACAAATACGATATGCTCAAAATCGATATCTAAACTATATATAAGGTACGTGATAATTCGATTTCATTAACATCGCTCTATTCCAATAGCAAATTCTAGATATAGCTGTTTTTAAGAACGGAAAAGAGAGCCGCAATGATACATTAATGATTAAAACGTAATACATTAGACCCGTTGAGATCACAAGACAGCAATGAAGCCGACAAATTTTCTGCGCCAACATAGAAGAAAATTCATCTGCTTCATGACTTCATCGTAATCTCCTTATTCCAAATACAAATCAAAAACCATCACCACCTAGCTAGTGCTCCCCGATCAAACCATCCCTACACACTTCCTGCAACTATCTATAGGGTAGAAAATTGTTTGTTACTGTGCACAGCCGTGGGCGAATCCTGCAACTCACACGTAGAATGTCTGTAGAAAACGGACACAACACAACATGGACAATTTAAAGTATCATAATTCTCATGCATTTTCATCTTCAGAGCCACCAGTAACACATTCTTTTTCATCTTCAAACCCTTCAAGAGAAGGATATGGAGAGTGACCCTTCCCAAAAGATCTAACATGGTCCTTGAGTGATCTTTTATGTTTAAAATCAGAGCCACAGGTGCAGTACCATAGTTTTCCACAGTTTTTCTCGTGTGTCCTCCAATCTCCTTTGACTGCAAAAGATTTTGCACATTTTCTGCACATAAATGGCTTGGTCCCGTGCTTTCTTTTGTAGTGACTCTGAAGTGTTCTGAAGTCCTTCAACGGCTTTGCACGAGGATGGTTGATGTTGTTCTTGCAGCCTTGAGCACAACAGTAGCAGGGAAGCCTCAGCATTGCTGCTGGTTGTGTTCCTCTCAGAGATTCCGGTCCTTTCCTATATTCAGAACCATGCCCCCACATGTGCATCTGTATTTTTAAAGGAATAATTATCAGTATTTTTCTCATGAACCTAATTATCTTAGCTTGTACATTGATTATTAAGCATCAACTTTTATCAAAATCTATTAAAAAAATTGATTTTATCAAAATTTACTAAAAAATTAATTTTAATCCCCACCAAACACGGTCAGTCTTGAGCAAATAAGTTCATTAAGCAACGGAAAATAATGATGGATTATCTAAATTGAGTATGACTCCGAGGAAATGAATGAAGGTATTTGACATCCAAGCACACACGAGCAGGGGTGGAGCTGAGGGACCAAATTTTTTTAATAATAGGCTGATACAAGAAAAAATCCATCAATATTTTTTTTACCTAAAAAAATAGCACATGAGGAATAATAGTACACTAGGATAATTCGAACATTTGTTTCTTAAGTTCTTAAAAAGAACAAATTTATTTATTTCCGTTTTATCTTTAATAATCTCGTGTGCAAGTTGACTCTTATATTTTTATCAAAAGTTGACATGTTTCATAAAGGGTTACTTGAGTGTATAACCTTATCTGCTTTGATGTAATGTTCATCTATATCACCTAAAAAATTTAAACTATTCAAGAGGAATTCCAGGAGGATAAGGTGAGACAACAACAGATTCATGTTCAAATAGGAATGAATGTATTGACACCTTGCTGTGATATGTAGAGATAAATTCATATGGATCCCAATGATAAGGTATATATTCTTATAATATAGTTAAAACTTTTGTTTGAAAGGAAAATCATAGTTTGGCATTAATTTTGTGGTTAACCTGCCATACAATCACAGCTGAATTATAGGCAAATGTGGAAACTTGTATACGTGTAGTTTATGTTTGATACACGATGTTAGGAGTGTGAAGTATAACTACGAATAATTTTTCTCCTTTAGTTATGTCCAAAATGATATAGCTCTACATACCAAATATGCTAGAATAATACTCAGTGGTAGTGTGCAAGTTGGAAGATGAAATAATTGGTGCGATTAACATCATTTTATTATGTTGAAATAGACCTAGCCTGGATGATATGATCATTGTGAAATTACATGGTAAAAAATCTTGACATTTATCCAAGGTAAAATCATAAATTAAATTAGTCATTCTCTCAATACACTTAATGATGCATATTTTTCTTTAGTTGATCCCATAAATTTTTGAAAGCAATTTAAAGATTATTATCAGCCGAACCACAATTTGCACCATCACCATGCACCATTTGTGGATCTGCTATTTGTGAGTATGAGGAAATTTCTAAAAAGATTTACTTTTTCTTCATATTGAATGATTGTGGTTAATTTACCAGCGCATAATTGATTAACAATCAATTACGGAAAATAGAACGATTAGTTCCTAAGTATTTATTGTAGGATCCATTGGTTCAGATGATAAGAATTGTCAAGCATTGTAAATTTAAATCCAGCAAATTTTTTCCCAATTTGTATTATTTCTTTTTAACATTCAAAATCAAGTGAAAAATCTCCAAAATACAACTTTTCAAAGTTATCAATATTGAGACACGATTTTTAAACGTTATCAAAATGTGTAATCGTATAAAAGGCAATCCGATTCCGACATCTACTGATATATGATTAACCCGATTAGACTTCACCATGTTTCTGAGGGTAATAGAGCTACGATATCATCTCTCTCGTTTTGTTATAGCCAAAACAAAGTAGCAAAAATGACTTTCGCCTTGTTGAAGGAAATTAAAACCAACGATTATATTCCCCGAATGAAAGAACTGAACTGTAAATAATGGTAAACATTTTTATTAATAAAACAAAAAGGAGAAAATAAAATAGACCTGAAAAAGACAAATCCAGAAAGGATAGAACACCTCCTATATCCAGTTGAAATTTATGGTCCAAAAAAGACAGATATTTTGTATAAAGTTAAGAAATCTTCTCTAAGAGATCAAAAAGTCATCATCCAAATTTTGTACATGCATGAATATTCAAAATCTAATAGTATTGTTTACTAACCTGCATGTTGTTGTACCTATTGAAGGTCTTGTTGCATATGTTACAAGAAAACTGCATAGGTCCAACAAGAATCTGTGCTGGTGTTGGGATCCAAAATCTCCTCTGATCACTACTGTTGAAACCGCAAGCAGTAGAGCTCTTCTTTTCATTTTTCTCTTTAAAACTGTAGGGTTTAGTTTCAGTATCGAAATTAGCTCCCATATTAGGCAACCCTATGTGAAGAGACACTGTCACTTTTTCCATCTTTTCCTCCTTTTTCGCTCCATCACCATCTTCATCTTCTTCTTCATATTTCACTGTTTTTTCCTCTTTGAATCTGCTAAGAAGAGGCAAGCATTTGATAGTTTCGTATATATTGTATTCTTCTTTTGGGGGTTGCTCTTGATAATACAGAGGATATTTCAAGAAACTCATGGGGTTATTGAATTGATCGATATAACTGGCTGTGTGATGGATGAAGAAGAAGAAGGTGGACAAAGTAATGGCTAGATCCAAATTCAATGAAAGTTGGAGTCTGATAAAAGCACAAATTTATATCTTGTATGGGGCAGTTAATTTGTTATGCCTATCACATGAGGAGAATTCGTTCAATTTTCTCTTCCAAGCTGGTTCATATTTAGACTTGGTGTGGGAAAGCATGAACCAAAGGTTGAATTAGGAGTGTTGTTTGGTGTATCTTTTTGGAAACTTTTTGCCATCTTTCTTTTCTCCCCATTGAAGAGAGAGAGAGAGAGAGAGAGAGAGAGAGAGAGAGATTAGTGGTGGGGTTGAGGGAGAATGACATGCAATGAAACTATGTGGTTTAACTTGGACGAAGAGAATCCTAGAATAATCTTACATATCAAACTGTCAGTATCGTTTACTTATTTGTCAGGGTGTAGTATTTAGTGCATTAATTAGGGCTAATGAAACTTGTTGGAATTGAAACAAAATATAATTTACAAATTTAAGAGGGTAAAAACCTAAAAATGGTCCTTGACTTCTGGTGTCATTGGCATTTGGGTCCGCATTATTTTCTTTGGTGTATGGATTCCAACCTTCAAATTTAGTTGGAAAAAGAAAAAGAATTTCCCCCTCCTCTCCCAGTAATCTTGTGTACACTTCATAGCTAATTAATTATACTTCTATCGATTCAGTAGAAAATTGATCTTACATCATGAGATTAACAAGCCTTCCACTGATAAATATTCAACTAATAGTCATAGATGTACATGAAAATATTGTGTTCTTTATAATTAGCATAAAACATATGTATTATTTTATCAAAAAAGAATGTATATGGAGTAGTTATTGTGGAATTTCACCCGCATGAATAGAAAATACTCCTCAGGGTCCCAAAAACTATGGAAACTGGGGAAAAGCTTATGGTATTGTTGGGACCACACTGCATTTAGTCAATCCTAAAGGGGAAAAAGGAAAGCAAATATAAAAGAAAAATTCGATTCAGATAAGAAATAATATAAAACAAAAAAGCTTTTGTTAGATTTTTCTTGAGAGGTAAAAGTTTCAACTTTTCACACGTTGGATTAAGCTTTTACAACTATTGTGTCTGATAAGAGTTTTTATTTTTTATGGAAAGGTTGCTCATTTGAGTCTTTTTTAAATCTGAAGAGTGACACTTCAATCAATGTAAATGAGCCTCATTTTCATAAGAAAATGAAAATGAAAATTTCGACGACATTATAAGATCGACTATTGCTGCAAAGAGCCATTCTCCTTGGATTAAGCATACAATAAAGGCATTTCCAGCCCGTGTTAGTATTATCTTGGCATCTGGCACAAATTTTTGCTCAAGGTGAGATCATTAAACAGGATTGTGCATCCACAACCTCATCAAAAAACTCAAAACATTAAAGAAAATATACATTATTTATTTATTTAAATTCAATCTTTATAGTTCCTACCTCACAATGTAAACAAAATTAGTTTTATCAAATGCTTGACAAATTCGCAACATTCATCAATAGTAAGAGGTGGTGGGCTTAAATTTATTTTCTTTGTCTACTCTAATATCATGTTAGCTAGAAAATCCATATTGATGACGAATCATTAGTGTCAGTTCACACAAAAAACCTAGCTCATTAGCTATCTAATAATAATGCTTTATAAAGATGGTTACACAAATACTATATGCTAATGCTAATTAAGCTACCTAGAAATTACCTTTTGTGACACTTAATAGTGCAAATCATTGCCAAAGGTCTCATTATTAAGAGGCTAATGGATACATTTAAAGTGAGCTTAATTAGCTAGATTAAACTAACCGACAAGAAATAATGCAGCCGGATTTTCAGGAAATACAAAAAGACACTGCTCCCCTGCTCTCAATCTCTCAATCTATGTTTCTTTAACTTTTTCTTGTTGGGTATTATTAGGACTGTGCAAGATTCTCTTCTATGTCCTCCTTTTCCACCTTTAGATTCAAAATCTTAATTTTTCTCTTATTGTTTTCTTTCTTTCTTTCTTTCTTTCTTTTCATACAACCATTTGGATACTAAACATTTTTTATGGTCTTTTCTATTGACCTAGCTAAGCTTAAAAATGTTACATGTAGAAAGTTTTAAAAAAATTACTTTTTATTTTGTTTTGTGAAATATATGCAAAGATTTTTGTAATATGCAGTGTACGTTTGGTTATTTTTTTTATCAGTTTTTTGACCGTTGTTTCCCTAAGTCAACCGTCATTTTTGACTTCTTCTCTCACATGTAGGATTCACTTTTCTTTCTAATGATTAAAAAATCAATTCTCATGATCAATACCGAACAAAGCCTTCGATTTGGTCTTGTTTTCCATTTTAGTACCACAACTAAAAATTCAAAATACTCTGTAAAATAAATTTCACATTACGACTTTATAAAAATAAGGTCCAATCCTCGTTTAAGAATTTTTTTTTATCAAAATATAAGTAAGCAAGCACCGAATTGTATCATCTAGAAGTAATCAAGGGAACTTGATCCCTTAGCTGAATTAAATGATATTGGGCAATTTATCATTTAATAAAATAAAAAAAGAATTAAGTCATATTTATATAAAGGGCAAATAAACTGTCATTAGAGATGGCAATGGGCCACTTGGCTCGACCCTTAAACTGAGGAGCTTAGCTCATTCTTCACTATAAATGAATTGAATATTCCATATTCACAACTTGTCTCAAACAAGAGATAGAAACAAGTATAAAATTATTTATAGATATTTACGGAGTAACATGAAACTCAAAATTAGAATGTAGCCAATACTCCCAAATCAAAAGGGGAATTGATCTATGGTGGTTCGATAAAAATGAGCTAAGCTCAAGCTTGGCTCGTGCTCAAGAGCTCGGCCCATGAGTTTGTGCGCCGAGCCTAGCCCGCGAGCTCAGTATTTTTACTTTTTATTTTTTTTTTTGAAAATTTTCAAACTTTTCTTCACATTTTTTAAAAGCACTCGGCTCGTGAACTTTTGGCTTGTGGGCCGCTCGCGAACTCGACGAGCCGAGCTCGTTGGCTCCTACCCTGCTCGGCTCATGCTCAAGCTCGTACTCACGAGCTGAGCTTTAACAAGTCGAGCCGATGAGCCGCTCGCCCCATTTGACATTCCTAACTGTCAATCAGTTATAACAAAATATATAGTTTCGAACACTCAACCCAACATACATGTTAGTGGGAAATGAATATGCCCCCAGGGCACATCTCCAAGTGGTAAAAGGGGAGGGTGGAGAAATCCAACTTTGCTTGAGGCTGCTGCATCAAGGATTCGAATCCTGAAATATGGATTTGGCTCTTGGGTAAGTGCAAGTGTACAAGCAGCCTTCCACCCTGTACCCTTGGAGGCATAACCTGCGATTTACCTCCCTCACGATGCTCCAAAGTAGAGGTGGTGGGGGACCCTTAAAGTTAGGGTTTAACCTTTAGTGGGAAATGAATATATTTATGCTTATATACGTATGTGTGGAGGGGTGGGGGTTGGTATCAAGGTGTCACATCCCTTACCTGCATTATTTTTTTCTATAGTGGCCTCGTTTGTCATATTTTCAATTGTGAGTCAACTTGCAGAAAAACGATCCCTCATGACAATACTTTAGAATTTACAATTATAATTGAAAAGTGTGAAAAAATTATGTAATATTTCTTGTAGAACACTCACAGACCTTTCTATAATTTCAACAAGAAAATAATAACTTTTACTCAGCATTTTTTTTTTTTTTTTTTTTTTTTTTTTTACAAGGTGTCCTATTCTAGACTAATCCTTGGGTCTGTGATCCGGCCCCTCTTCACACAGTCCGGTTAATCGCAGGATGTGCCTCCAACTGGCCAGGGTCCTAGCGCTCCCCACCTGGTCTGGCAAAGTGCCAAGCAAGCCAATCCAAGTTGCACCTTGCCTTCCAAGAATAATCCTTGCCTTCCAAGTTCCCACTTGCCTTCCAAGAATAAATCCTTGCCTTCCAAATGTTCCCTTGCCTTCCAAGAATAAATCCTTGCCTTCCAAGAGCCCCATGTTTCGAACTCACGACCTCTGCTCTGCCAGGTTTGACAGCGTCCGTCCTTTGCCAGTGGAGAAGTGCCCTGGGGGGCTAAAACTGTGTAGGGTAAACTTTTTGCAGGCAGCTCCTGGTGAAATTGAAGCTAAACACGTTTTCTCACTGAATTTATTAATTAAATTTTTGTTATGTTATGGCTGCTACAGTCTACAGATATATTAAATTAAACTACAAGCACGAGCTGACAGCATATTTTCAAAGTCAAGGCAAACTTTATTATTTATAAAAATTGGGAAGAAAGTTACCTATACTGAGTCAATGCATGCAAATTCTAACATTTCGGCACTCTTTTTCTCTTCACAATGTGAATACAGAGATCGCATTCTTGTCTGTGCGACTCATCATTATTGCAGGAATTCATCAAAGTATTGGTTCACACGTTTTTGTTATCTATACACTGAATTGGACTTGGAAATTAAAAATCAAGCTTGACTAAAATGGGCCACATAGATTTTTGTTTTTAAACCTGAAATTTTGTATTTTCATTTTTGGTATATGAAGCTTCTAATCAATAAGTTTTTGTGAACTAGAAATATTAACTTGACATGAAGTGCATATGTAATGATCAATTATGTGAGCCACAATGGAGAGTATTATTAAAACATTACATAATTAAAAGTATGTTATGTTTTAATTTGTATTGGCTATTTTTTAGACAAAATGATTGTTATAAAACAGTTACAAAAGTCAATGAGTCTTTTGGGATATTGTATAAAAGAACTAGGAGTCTTTGGGTTCGAGTATGGACATGGAGAAAGAGTCATCGGAATTATGTTAGCATGTCACTAAACTGATGCTCGTGCATCCAAAACAGAATTATTGTTGCCCGGCTGTCACTTGAGGAGAAACCTTAGTTGTGATTTTTGAGAGTCCTATCAATTCTATACTACCCCAATACCTCTTTACTATAGATACACAAGCCTCAATTCGTGAAAATGAATGGTTGATCGCCACCTTCATTACATCCTTTGGAGATCAACAATAATTCGAAACCTTGTGATCAATCAATCACAAGTTGGGAAAAACATCAAAATCATATAATTCAAAACACCCACTTCCCAAGACATAATTAGGAAGGCATTTTCTCAATAGTTTTCAGAGGTTGTTGGAGATTGGAGGAGGTTGGACCATAAGCAAAGGCTGAATACAAGAACAATGTGTTCTTAGTGATCCACAGAAGATAAACAGTTTCAAGAGATCGAGACT